TCCTTTCCTCCCTTGGTCTCCCTTCGAGCCTCTCATCTGCACTTTTATCTTATCTGCCCTAAACCTCTCCGGTCCTTCCAGCTGCTTATCGCCCTCGAAGAATGCCACGTCCCCCCTGCACAGGCAGTACACTTGGTGGATTTTCCCATCCTTTTCCGCAAACAACTCTGACGCCCTCAACACCAGCAGATATGTCAAGGCCAATCCGATTCATAGCACTCGTCCCCCTGCACCTTCACCGCCAACACTCTGCTGCATTGCACTCAGCATTCCCCATGTCAGAGGTCTCCTCACTCTTGCTTGTGTACCTTTCTCCACGTGCCCTCTCATAATCCCTTGCGTTACCCCTTTGACGCACGGGTTACTCAACGGCAAAGACATGTTCTGAAACTGTTGATAGAAATTGACCGCCACGAGCTTCCCCATTATCGTCGAATCCCTATTTCCTAGGAACGCACTACAGTACGCCATGTACTCCGCCAGCTCCTCCATTATCTCCCCTTCCTCCGACCCCTTCGCAATCCATGGGCTCTTCTGCGCTCGTTCCCTCCACTGTATTCACATGTTCCAAGCCCCCGTGCAAGTTTTTCTAGTCGACGCTGCAACTCTTCCAAGTGCGTAGCTTCGCGCAAAATCTCTGCACATAGCTGCTGATCCTCGGCCTTCAGCTCCTGCACCTGCCGACGTGTTCCTGGCGATTCCGATTGCAAGTTGTCAGCGATCTCCTCTTCCTTCCATCTCGTTATGCCATCCGCTAGCCTATTCTCCACGCCCGGTACATGCCTCGCCTGAAAACACCAGCCCCCAATCGTCTCCAAAGCTCCCATCATCCTCATCAGTGCCCCTACCCTCGCCTTCTTCTTCCCCCACCGCCCTCATCATCACCGCCTCTCCTTCCCGCTCCGGCCTATCCCCCCTCGAAATTACCATCACATACGCCGTCATCACCATCGCCATCAGTTTTAGCTCTTTTATGCATGTAAAGTCCCCTTCTCCCTTCTGCCTCGCCCTGATTGTCCTTCCTTGTACCTCCTCCGGCAACTCGTACCTCCAGAACACCCTCGTTTCCATGCAAACCCCCCCCAACACTCTCGTTGACGCATCCGAGAACCAGCTCCTCGAAGGAAGTTGCTTGGCAAAGCTAAACGACGCCGCCGTTATCTTACTGCCCCCCTCCCCCCCCCCCCCCCCCCCCCCCCCCCCCCCCCCCCCCC